ACACAGTTCAGCGTCTTTGCATAATCAATTAAGTGTAAGTAAATTTCTGTTATTCTCTGCTTTCAACCAAGATCCATCTGATGCCAGCAATGATATTCCTAGCTCCATGTAAATCTTCTGAATCTGGCTTGAATTTGTGGCAGTTCCTTGTCAATGTATTGCTGCAATGTTTTTGAATTATATTCAGCTCTGGCAGCGTAGTGGTTATGAATTGGGCTGCTAATACAGTCAGCAGTTTGAAATTACAAGCTGTTTCGTGGGAGAAAGATGAGCCTTTCTGCTCCTGTAAAGATTTACAGCCTCAGAAATCCTATGCAAGGTCGCTATGAGTTGGAACCGACTCCACAGCACATAACAAGAATAACAAATTTTACTTGCATGTGATATCAATAATATTGTTCAATGTTTTCTACATCCCTTTAGGTCACCTTTTTTTCTGAAATGGTCAAAAAAATAGATTTCTTAAATCAGCTAGCCAAAATTCTTGGCATAGACTAGTGAGGGCACCAGTGCTGCATCAGCTGAAACATTTCAGTTTGTATTCCATCCATTTCTGGAGCCTTGTCTTTCACTCAGTGCACTTTGGATGTCTTCCTTCATGTGAAATAGAGTCAGTAAAACCTATAGCTTGACCTTGGATGAGCCCATGCTCTATTTAAATGGTTTAAATAGAGCCCATGCTCTATTTAAAAGGAAGCCACAATAAAGTATTATTAAACTATAGTTCAAATGGTATTTTTTCCCCTCATACTTTCATCCATGAGTTTCTGAAATTTCTAACATTTTCTTTCATTTACTATTTTCCTACAATTCAAAGAAAATTATTTTAATTCTGAATTTCAGGGTAAATATGTTCTAACACTTTCAATGTTAGAGGCTTGATTATTATTTTTAAGTAGCTGGAATATTTTATTTTTCTAGCCAAGCATGTCTTCTATAATTCTGATCCCCTGTAAATCTGCTCACATTTCTCTTTTAATTTCTGAACATCAACCACTTGTCGTTAGCTACTTTACTTGGTTTATGTACTAAATAGCTTATATTACTTCACAAAAATGGAGAGGGAAATCAAAGGAAAATCAAAGTTTGACTCTGCTGATGGGATTGTAAAACGGTGCAACCATGTGGAAAATAGTATGGTGCTTCTTCAGGAACATGGAGATAGAAATACTGTGGTGGTTGTGGTGGTGGTATGCCGTGGAGTTGGTTCCAACTCATAAGCAACCCTGCATAGGGTTTCTGAGGCTTTAAGTCTTTATGGGAGCAGAAAGCCTCATCTTTCTCCAGTGGAATGGCTGGTAGTTTCGAACTGCTGACCTTGAGGTTAGCAGCCAGACTCATAACCACTACACTATCAGAGCTCCTTTTAACCCAGAAATCCCTCTATCTCCCCAAAATAACTGTGACAAAAGTAGATACATGTACACCCGTATTCATCACAGCACAATTCGCAGCAGCAAAATGATGGAGTCTGTCTAAATGCCCATCAGTGCAACAATGGACAGATACACTTTGGTACAAATACATAATGGAATACTGTGCAACAATGAGGAATAACAATGTATCTGTGAAGTATCTCATAGCATGGGATACTGTGCCTTTCTAGCCAAATCTGTAACTCTTCCATGTAATTCTGATCCATATCTGCTCATATTTCTCTTCAATTTTTGAACACCATACCACTTGTTTTATAGAACGTAAATTATACTGAAATTAGTCAATCACAAAAAGACAAATATTGTATGAGAATACCATTATAAAAAGTCAAGACAAGGTTTTCATACTAAAAGAAACATTCTTTGAAGGTTACTAGGGGAGGGAGGCAAGGCAGAATAATTCACTGATTAGAGGGCTGTTGTTGTGAAGTGCTGTAGACGTGGTTCCGACCCATAGCTACCCTGTATAAGTAGGGTTTCCGAGGAGCAGATTAGAGTGTAGGCATGTGTTAATTTGGGTGTTGGGGAAGGCAGTATGTAACAACACTAGTAAGATATGTTCACCTGGAATAAAATTTAATAAATAAGTTGGATGATCTATTCTAGTCAAATAAGAATACACCAAGAAAGGTTTAATGGATGTTATGAAGGTATGGATTCATAAAATGTCTTCATTTCATTTCTTTATATATTTATAAGGAAGAAGGCAAATCCTGTTACACTTCCATATACAGGGACCACTGTGGCTGGAAAGCAAAAATCCTACTTCAAAATCTAGAAACAGATAGTTTAAGACTGAGGCTAAGCATGAATAACAGAGTATCACTATACTTTCCACCAAAAGAAAGAAGGCAGAGTGTAAAACTCGTTGAGGCTCAATCTAAAGCCAAATGTGAAGCAAGGACATTGAGAAAAACCCTCCAACAATCCAACTCCACCCTGTTGTTAGTTGCTGTGTAGTTGATTCCAACTCATGACAAGCCACGCGTGTAGAACAGAACTTCGTTATAGGGTTTTCAGAAGCAGATGACCAAGCCTGTCTTCCCAACCTTCCAGCTAGTATCCCTTTGTGCTAGCCAGGGACTCAAACTAAACGCAAGGAAATACTAGAGAAAGTTAAAGCTGGTGGTATATGGAAGGTAATCACTGTAGCAATAAAACCACACCCCAGCTCAACTACTTAAGAGATGGAGACAAAAATCTCACTGTGTCTATTTCAAGATAGAAATATTATTTATCTCAGTCCTACACACAATGTTCTGTTCTCAACCAAACACTGTGACACAACAGAACCCAAGAAAAAAACAAAGCAGTCTTGAAAGTAAGCAATCAAAAGAACCAGACTCAGTTATGCCCCAGATGCCAAAAGAATCAGACAGGAAGTTTAAAATCACTTTGATTAATATGTTAAATGTCCTGGTAGAAAAAGAGGTATTATGCATGAACAGAATGGAAATTTCAAAAGAGAGTCAGGAACTATAACAAAGAATCAATGCAAAGATGGGGAATAGAAAACAAAACACAGCATCCAAGAATAGGGGATTGTATAATCAAATGGTCTAACATACATCAAATTGGAATCTCAGAATTAAAGATAGAAAATGGCTCAAAAAAACAGCAATCAGGATAAATGCCATAAATCAATACACAAAAGATAAATAATCAAGTTAGACTTAAGGTACATCATGTTCAAACTGGTGACAACTGAAGATAATGGTTACATCTTCAAAGGAACCATAGGAAAACAATTATGTATACAGAAAAACATTACACACACAGAAACAAATACAGGAATTACTTTGCAGAGCATAGTGTCAGGAAATATGTATGCCAGAAACAATCAAATGACTTCTTTAAACTGTGGGTGGAAAAAAAAAAGGGCTGTCAACCCAAAATTCTATACCCACCAGAACATCTTTCAAAAATGAACATTTTTTTCAGAATAAACAAAATCTAAAAGAATTAATACCAGTAAATCTGCAACATGAGATACATCAAGCAAAACGAATGTGATATTAGACAAAAACAAAGATCTACATTTAAAAAATGAACTCTGAAATTGATAAAATTGAAGTAAATATAAAATTTATTTTTCAATCTTTAATTGCACTAGAAGATAATTGACTCTCAAAGCAAAAAAACAATTTATTATTTTATAGCATATATTAAAGCAAAATATATGACAACAATGGAAAAAACAAAACACAGATTACCAGTATCAAGAGAGGGTATTACTGCAGACCCCACATTCATTCAAAGGAATCCTACAACTCTATACACATAAAGTTGGCAACTTAGATGAACTGTACCAATTCCTCAAAAACCACAAACTACCAAAAGTCAACTCAAGAAAAAACAAAGTAAAAAAGTCCTGTAGCTATTAAAGACATTTATTTGCATTTAAAATAAAAAAGAATTTTCTGTTGTATAAAGAAAGTCACTGGGAAGAAGGCTGCTACTTCTGCCTAGGTGTCAATGTACAGACACAAAGATTATTTCAAACTGAAGTAATGTTGGATCTGCCTATCGTCAGTTCACTATAACCAGAGGTGGTGGTGGTGGTGGTGTGCCGTGGAGTTGGTTCTGACTCATAGCGACCATTTATAGGGTTTCCGAGGCAGTAAATCGTTACAGGAACAGAAAGCTTCATTTTTCTCCTGCAGAGCAGCTGGTAGATTCAAACTGCTGACCTTGGGGTTAGCAGCCCAACTTGTAACCCACTACGCTACCAGGGCTCCTTAATAATCAGAGAGAGGGAAGTAATATTAAATAATATCAAAATAAATTGACATCAAGAAAGTAAGTACTTGAGCAAAACTGTTTTTATACCCATCTTTTGGATTGTTCACTAGATAATATTTATGATAATTCTGAGTCATATTCAGGAATACTTGTTTAAGATAGCTGGAACATATGTAATTTATTCTAACCATTTCTATTTTAAAAATTAAAAGTTAAAACCTTTTGACAGTTTACAAGCTCCAAATAATTAAATCATTTGAAAAGATTAATTTTCCAATGTGCTAAATGCTTAAATTATAAATTTACCTCCATTACTAACTAGCTGAACTAAATGATAGTTGTTGATTACATGCCATTGAGTCAGTTCCAACTCATAGCAATGTTGTATAGGGTTTCTGAGGAATGGCTGGCAGGTCTGAACCACCAACGCTGTGGTTAGCAGTTCAGAGCCTATCCTACAGTGCCTGCCACACCAGGACCCCTAAATATTAGGTAAGAGAAATATATGATGCTTTTGTCAAAATAAAAACACCTTATAATTCTACTTAGGATTGTTATTGTTGTTAAGGGCTGTTGAGTTGGTTCCGACCCATAACGACCTTATGTAGAGTTTCCAAGGAGTGGTTTTGGGGTTTGAATCACAGACCTTGGGATTCAAACTGACCTTGTGGTCCAAACATCTCCATTTTTTTCCTTCCTGATATCATGCCAATAACTGTTATTTATGCATGCATGTTGAAATTAAAATTTCTGAAAAAATCCTGTCTAGCAATACTTTCAAATGTATAAACTGTTAAGGAAGGAAGTAAAACATAAATTTACCTCCAACACACGTTGTGGTTCTTCAAGAGGAGCTTCATTTCTGACTCTTGAAAACAAAATAAATATTAACTATTTTATGTTTAAAATAACATAAAGTGAAACAGTTCTTAATTTTATAAGCTAACAATAAATTACAAATCTAAAATAGTGTACACTTTACACTATGATAGCATGACCTCTATAGATATTTTAAAGTAAAGTAAAATAGATGAGAACAAACAGTAGTCAATAAATGTACTAAATTAATGAATACAAACTTACAACACCTATTTCCTTGTCTAAACAAGATCATGTAAGAAATGTTCTCTCTGCTATGTACAATTTAAACAAAATACACAATACATTAGTAAGCCATTCCAAAAAATAAATTTATTCATTTTTGAGAAATACAACCAGGTTTTAGGTTTATGTACATTACATACTCACGCTGGTGGCAGTAAAGTAATAGAAATGATTTAGAAATTTGAAGGACATATTCTTTTATAAGCCTTAATAATCACAGCTCAAATATTAACTATAAATAATTTCTAAAAAATACTAATTATAGCTAACATATTAAAACATTAACAAGTTAGATTTTTTTTATATTAGTAACATACAATGATATATGTCATAAAGAAAATCTTGTAAAAAGTAGATTTTCATATAAAACCTAGCCCTTACAAGGGATCTTTGTTTTAGAAACTAGTGGTGATTAAACCTTACATATTAATATTATGTATTAAACTCAATTTTAATTTGCTTAAGTAGGATAGTTACCCAATCTGAAATATCATGAATTAAGAGTTAATTGATTCATGACTTTATGAAATCTTAACAACTATTTCTAATAAATAATATATATAACATAAGTAGCAAATATACTGACTTAAATTGTATGGAGGGAAAATGGAGACATCTCATAGGACAGAAATTTCAACCATCCAAAAAGCTACTACTGTCAAGATTAGTCAATGAAAAATAAGAGTTGCAAAATCCCATTTTTTACCCATTTTGAGGGTACATTTAAAATATTAAGTTTTCAAATGCTAATGCTTTACTGGATATTACTATAACTGAATTGTGTAAAGTTATTTATTTTAGTTATTATAACAAAGTTGCAAACAGGAAAGAGATCTGTTCTTTAGTAGAATCACAATGTTGGTAGTATAATAATTTACAAAACAATTGCAATGAATAATACTTGCATAAAAATTTGAAAAAAACAAACAAACAAATGTCAAGTAGTTTGGGGATACTTTTTGCAGTACTCTCTAGAATTGAATACTGCACAGTATTCATAAGGGTGGGGCAAAATCAAGTGCACAGTGCAACTTAACTATTTAATGTTTTACACAGGAAAATACTAAGTATTTTCAATATAACATATATAAGTAATATATTTATTTGTAAGCACTTAATAGTTCTACATTCAGTTGGAACACCAGAGTGAAATAAATTGGTTACAAACAATTTTTAAAAACATTAAAGAATATCTTCCTTTTCAATTTACTGTTAAATATGTTGTCAAAGAAACAACTTACATTATTTCCAACAGAAATATTACCAGGTTAATCATCTTTACATATTGCTATTCCAATAAATGAATTATATGCAGCAATTAAAATGAGTCATTAAGAGTGTGTTAAATAGTAATGCGACCTTTCCAACTGGGGAAACTGAGTATTTTATTAACATTTCACTCTTCTTACGGCAGTTCAAGCTTACCAGCTGCTCCTCGGAAACCCTATACAGGGTTGTTATGGGTTGGAACTGACTTGACGGCACTTCACAACAACAACAGTATCTCTGAAATGGAGGTTTGTGCCAGAGATTTTTATTATTTTTGATTTTACTAACTAAGACATCAGCTGATGAGCATTAAGAGCAATAGCCCCAATCCTGTTTTGTGGCTTTAACTGTATTGTATTCCCTATAAAGGATAGAACTTTAAAAATCAATGAAAACATGTAGAAAAACAAATTTTTAAAAATTAGAAAAGCACATTACATAAAATTTTATAAGTTTTAAATTCATCACTAAAATGTATGATGCATTTTCATGACCATTAGAAGTATACCTTAGGATGAATAGATCTATTTACAATCAATACATCATCAATACTTTTGAAACAGAAAAACATTTCTTACCTGTAATTTTTATCCATTAAACATACTTGCTGAAATAGTCATTTGAGATATTCAATTGTTTGGTACAAGACAGTGAAATTTGCTAACCTCAAAGTTCTGAGCTAATGACCTGACCTGTCTTTAGGAAATTACACTTTTCACTGTTGAATGTCGCAATAGCTTTTTATTGAAAAAATGTAGTGTCATGTTTAAAACAAATACTATTTAAGATTTCAATGCAAAGAGAACAGCATTGGCAACCTAGTTCAACAGTAAACATTTAGAAATCATGATTGCAAAATAGCATTTTTTTCTATTCTATGGAAACCTGTTGAAATAAGAAATAGTTCTGATGTATTTCTAAGAGGTAACTTTCCTCTCTAAAGCTTAAAATGAAATAAACACATTTTCTGAAGATTAAATGACCACATCTGAGGCTAGACATAAAATGGTCAAATACATGAGCCTGTCTGTTCTTTTTAAGCTTCATTTACATTATAAACAAATCATGAGATGGGTGGGTTGGGAGGCACTAAAAAAAATCCAGGTTCATTTCAGCCAGGCCACATTCTTTCTTTCTAATAACATCTAAAACCTAAAATCATTAATTAATTAAAAAGCTTAGATACTGATTTTTAAAATATAATGGACTACTAACTAACATTTACAAGGTTGCAGCAAATCCACCAGCTGCTCCTTGGAAAACCTATACAGGGTCGCTATGAGTTGGAGATGACTCAACGACACTTAACAACAACCACAAGGTCTGTGATTGAAACCACCTTGGAAACCCTTATCTATACAAGGTCGTTATGAGTCTGAATCAACTAGACAGCACTTAACAACAACAATCTTCAATTTAAGAATATTTCTAAGTATACTTTGGAATTCTGGTGTGGTGTTATAGGGTAAGCACTGGACTGTTGACTATAAAGTCCATGGTTTAAAACTACCAGCTGCTTCTCAGAAAACCTATACAGGGCCATAATGAGCTGGAACCGACTCAACAGCACTTAACAAGAAGTATGCTAAAAAAAAAAACAAAATACAGTAATATATATCATGTCAGGAGTAAATTCACCCAGTATTCAAGACCTTCCACTTAGATGTTCAATATTAAATTTAACAGTTATTATCAGATTAAGAAATAAAAGTAAAACATCTAGTATGCTATTTCTGATAGTTTGAGAAGTGCTAATAGATATTATGTGCACAAAAAGCTTGCCTGAGCTAAACATTTACTGGATTGCACGCTAGGTACTGTGCTAGGTGTACCAGTCCAAAGTTAAAAGAGCACAATCCCACCCTTGAAATTCCTTTCTGTCAAAGAAATGTACTGAAACAAATGTTTACAAAATGTGAAAATGGTTAGAAAAGAGACCGTGTAAAGTATAATGGCTGTATAAAGGACTGAACAACTCTGAGGGACTCCAAAGAGTTCATGGAAAATGGAATGGAAAGATAATGACATTTTTAGACAAACTTTTGAAGGCCCCTTGTATGAAGGATGAAAACGAACAACAACAAAAAAAGCACATGAAGCTGTTGCAGTGAACTTGGTTTTGACGGAATAACAGTTAGGAAGGTATAGAAAGGGATTCTAGGAACAACAAAAGCATTTAAGTATTCAGGAAGCAGTACGACATTACCATATAATATATATACACAAAAAAGGAAAAAACCGACTCTCACTAATTTTCTGACTAAAATATCATCCTGATTCCCAGAGATAATTAACATGATTCATAACCTTCCACAAGTGGAGTTATTACCACAACTGAGCAAATGCCAACATAGTTCAACTCTTCTTGATCAGAATACATTTTTAAGTAAATTTATATATTTTAAATGTTATGTGTTAAAATATATTTGTAAATTTTTATATTACAACCCAAAGGCAAATAAAGATCGAATTTTATAAGATGCTGGTAGTTAAAAACAATAATATTGAAAAATACATAAAAAAATAAAACTTTACTCAGAACCTACTTACAAGGAAGTCATTGGAACAAAACCCCATGGTAAGTCAGGGACCACCTGTATAAGCATCACCTGTGGTAGGTTCTATCAAGTGACCCTACGTACAACAGAACAAAACATTGTCAGGTGCTGCTACATTCTCACAGTCATTGCTGTGTTTGAGCCCATTGATGTAAACACTGTATCAATTCATCTTCTTAAGAGTCTTCCTTTTTTTTTCGCTAACCCTCTACTTTACCAAGCATGATGTACTTCTCCAGGGACTAGTCACTCTTGATAACATGTCCAAAATTCATGAAATGAAGTCTTACCATCCTTGCTGTTTTGCTTGTTCTTCTGGCAGTCCATGAAATATTCACTATTATTTTGCCAACACCATAATTCAAAGGCATCAATTTTCCTTGTCTTATTTACTGTCCAGCTTTCACATGTATATAAGTGACTGACAATACCAAGGCTTGAGTCAGATACCTTTGTCCTCAAAGTGACACCTTTGTTTTTAAACACTTTAAAGAGATTTTGTTGCAGATTTGTCCAATGCACTGTCATCTGATTTCCTGACTGCTTCTTCACTCCTTCATGGGTGTTGATTGTGGATCCAAGTAAAATGAAATTCTTGACAACTTCAGTTTTTGCTCCATTTATTGTGATGTTGCATGATAAATGTGAAGATTTTTGCTTTCTTTATACTGAGTTATAGTCTATACTGAATGCTGTAATCTTTGTTCTTCAGTTAAGTGCTTCAATGCTTCAAGTTCTCTTTGTTTCAACTGTTAAGTGCTGTCAAGTGGGTTTTGACTCACAGCAACCATGTATAGGGTGGTTTCCAAAGAACGGTTGGGGAGTCTGAAACATCAACCTTGTGGTTAGCAGACCAGTACCTATCCTACAGAACACCACACTAGTACTCCTTGCTTCAACTTGTTATTGGTAAGTGCCATGGTAGTCGGTCCCAACC